ATTTCTCGACACAAAGAAACTATTTACATACTATCTCAACAGTAACATGCAAGAATTACATGTTACTGTTGAGAAATTACATAACCATATTGACCAAACCCATTTAAAAATTATTTTAGCAATAAGAATAATGTGAATGTTCACACTCACATTCGCATGAGCCATATTGTGAATAATGTTAAACTTTAGAAAAATCTAATTAAGCCATAATTATAGCAACACAAAGCCATTATGTTTTTAAAAAAAAATGGCTTGTATAGTGTCAACATGCACAGAAATATATTGAACAATATGAATATTCACACAAATTACTGAGAGTACAAAAATGAGAATAAATCTCATAATCAAATACCATATGATATGAATGTTCACAGCCATTAATAGGGGGTGGTCAATTTAAGCCGATTGTGAATGTTCACATCAGAATAACATACGACAACAATAATAACAACAACAACAACTGAAACAAGTGAGTTGGTCCACAGCTGTGTTTTCCATGTGAATGTTCACTACCATTAATAATAACAATAACAACTATTACTGTAATTTTTTTCATTAAAAAAATCATATAATTGGGGGTGAGGGGTTCACATTCAATCATGAATAGTATTAATAACAACAATCACACGATTAAGGGAATAACAACAATAATATGAGCTTCCATACATTATATGAATAGAATCAAGGGATATGTGTAGAAATCCACATTGGTGCAAATTCAGGAAGAGTTTTAGGGTTTGTATTAAAAATAGGTGATGAATAGTTATGTTTGGTGACCATTTTGATGGTTTGGTTGCCACAAGTGGTCGGCAATGGTGATTCGACGAAGATGGAGATGACAATGGCAATTTCGGCGAGGAACGGCGCAAAGACGATGAACATCGCGATGAGATAATGAGAGGGAAAATAGGGGATTGATGACTAGGGTTTAGGGTTTTGAAAGGTTGAGAGATCTTCTCTGCGATTTTCTGGAAGAGAGAGAAAGAGAGACAATTATTTGGTTCAAAGATGATGAACGTGGGTTTTGGCTTAAGGGTTTTTTTGGTCTTTATATAATGAGTAGGACATAATGAAATACTTTAAAACATTTTGGGTTGTATAAAATAGGACTTTTAAAAAGGGGATTTACTAAAAAAGCTCCCATTTTAGAATACTTGCCAAGTTTTTAAGATTTCAATTTGGTTCTTTCATCTAAATTGGAGGTTAAAATTAAGAAACATTTACACACAAGTCCTAATTTATAAACTTATACCACATTAAATCCAAACTAATATTTTTTAGACCTTAAAGTCCCATTAAATTTTGAATAGTTAGAATTGCCCTTCAAACAATGATTGTTCATCATTTATAATTGTTTATAAACTAAAATGATGATTTGACGTTTATTTTAATTTTCAAAACTTTAAAACATTAACTTTCAAATTAAAAAAACTAAAAAAAATTGAAAATTGAAAATTGAAAAAATTGAATTATTTTAGTAATACTCTGATGAATGAATGAATAAATTGTTTTCTTTAAATAATGCATGTCAGTGATATATATATATAATGGGTTGATTTTGAGAGCGTTACAGATGTGCAAAATTATAAATAATAAAAAAAAACTTTAAAACTGATAATGTTTCGAGTTTTAAAACTAGAAAAAATTGATAATGTTGTCGGTATTATTGGATAGTTGAATCAAACCAATAAGTAAAAGGGCAAAAACGTTTAATCTCATACTTTTTTTTATGAGTTAGTGAAACAATTATCTGGAGGATTGCTATATAAAATTGATAGTGTTTTTAATTTTTAAAATTAAAAAAAAATAATGATATTCTTAGTTTTATTAAATAGGACTTACTGGTTCAAAAAATCTTAAATGGAACTTGAGCTACCATAATATTTATAAATAGAGCTTTTAAGTAATTAACTCTAAAATTAATAATTTTGGGACATTTGTAAATTTTTTAAAATATACACGTAGACAAAAATAATATTAGTTTTAACTAAATCATTCAAATTGAAATTATAACAACTAAAATAAATTTTAAGTTAAATTATAGGAGTGAAAATTGTAATTAACCCTAAAAAATAAAAATAAAAAATTGTATGTACTATTACATTTGTAGTGAAAATTGTAATTAACCCTGAAAATAATATTGTATGTACTGCTACAATTGTGATAGCAACGTATATCATATGTTGGGGATTTCTTAAAAAAAAAAAAAAAAACAAAACAAAACAAAACAAACAAAAAGTATATGTTATGGATAGTGCTTAAGGATGCTCGTGGTGCAGTTTGTGTGGTTTAAGATTAGAATCACAAATTAAATTATAAATAGTGGATTGATAAATAATTAAATTATGATTTAGGGTGATTTGAATTTGCTAGTTAATTGAAAAATATTTTTAAATAATTATTAAGTATTTGCATAATATATGATACTAATTTATATAATATTTTTCATTTTTCACATATATATCACAAACTAATTTTACATAATATTTTATATATATATATATATAATTACTAATTTTTAACAAATTTCACATCTTAAATTTCTTTCACAATATTTTTATTTTAATATTTTATTAGATGTTAAAAAAATATATATGTATGAACTAGTACTACATGGAAGAACATAAATTAATAGAAATTATTTATTGGGAAAATAATAAATCAGAGATATTTTTTAAAGACAAAATTTATAACTTTAATTATTAAAATTTATAAAATTTAGGATAAATTACAAATACACCTCTAAAATTTAGTTAAAATATAGATTGCCTCATATGATTTTGAAAATTACAAATATCTTCTTGTCAAAAAAAATTATTTAACAGGATAAATAAAATTCTTAATTATTCTTCCATACAATAATAAAATCCATGAATTATTAATTTAAATATATTTATGATATTATTAAAAACAATTAGGCCATGTTTGTTTGAGCGGACTGGATTAGTATTCCCATGACTAATAGTCCTAGGACTACCAATCCGTTAAATTATGTATCATATCTTAACTAATAGTCAAGTTTAAAATAATTAATCCGTACTTCAATTGTTTAACCAAACATCGGATTAATAATTTTATTGGACTATTAGTCAAATTCCAAGCTCATGTCCATCCAAACAAACATGGCCTTAATTGTTTTGATAATTTAAAAGGATAATTTGTTATAAAATTAAAATTTTAAATGAATAAAATATAATTTTTAAAATTATAAAATAATCGTATTTAAAATAAATATCATGTGGTGTATTTATAATTTATTTTAAAATTTATTATAAATTTGAAAAAAAAAAATTGCACTGATTTATTATTATTTTTTATTTATTTACGTGGGGCCATGTGTGACATTAGAACATGTGCCCTGAACAAATCTTTGGTAGGGAGACATAAATTGTGGACAGCAATACAGGCTGGCTGTTTGGGTGAGAAGGTGAAGGGAAATAAAGCAAGAATGTCCAGTCACTTCCGGTATGTTGCGCTGGATACAAAAACAATTACTGCTCGATGTTAATGAGTGGATTTATTATTTAATAGATTTTATGAAAAAAATTATTATAAAAAAAGTTATTGATTGTATGTTTTAGCTTTAATTTATAAAAATTATGACAAAAAAATAATTAATTGTCAATTTTTAACGACATATATAAAAAAATTGTTATGGTATGTTATGGTATGTAAGTCTGAGATTGAAGTGGATATACACGAAGGTGCATTGGGAGTCTGAGATTGAGATGGGTAAGAAGAGAGAGGTACTTGGGTCCATGGAGATGCATGGGTTTATGTTGGACTTGTAGATTCAAATTTTTATTTTTATTTTTTTACTTACACCCACACCTCTATTTATATTAATATATATATTTATTTTTTTCTCAGTACAAGAAAAAATAAATATTCAAATCAATTTTTTTTATTAAAAATTTAACATATGCCAAAAATAAATACATATTATTTAGTTGAAAATGAGTCAAAAATGTTCCTACATAATGAAATTTTGATTAAAATGTAACAAATTAAAGTTAAAAGAGTCAAAAAAAATACATAAAATTTAGTTTTAGAGGGATTGCTAATGATTTTTAAATTTCACAGTTGTGGCACCCGATTCCCAATACGTACCGGCCGATACTACCGATACCGATACTCCGCGATCGATACCGTTACGTTAGCCGATACCGCGATTTAGAACTATGGAGAGAGCCAAAGCAAAAGGCTCCGTCGTGGAAGTAGACGAGAAGGGGGAGCTTTTGGGGTGGTGGGTTGGTGGTGGTGGTTTTGAAGAGGCGGGCTGATATGGCGGTTTCCGGGGAGATTAGGATGTCTTTGGACGAGACACCGGTTTTGGAGTCGATGGAAGGTGAAAATCTGTCGGTGCCAAAGAACCGCTCGACCCGACCGGTTTTGTATGCTCGGAAATAGGGAAGAAATTCGTAGGCTACGCCATTTTTGGTTGGTTCCATTGTTCCTTACTATGTTTACTTGTAGAGAAAGAGAAGTGAAAGTGATCGAGGGAAAATAATGAGGTCTTGCAAGTCTGGCTGCTATATATGATTTGCTTGATTTTCCTTTGTTTGGCTGTGGACAAATGTGGAGAGAAAGTAATTGGAAACAAATAAATTTCCTATATGTTATTTCAAGATTTTATATTTTTTATTGTATAGATTTTCATGGTGAAAGTATAATTTTTTTAAGGCCTAGTTTGGAAAGATTGAAAAAAGACAAAAAGTCAAAAAGTTATTATCCTATTTAAGTCACATCATCTTATTTAAGTCACATCACCTCTCTAACACATCACTTCAAACCCAACCCAAACCCAACTCATATTTCATAAAAAGTCAAAAAGTGTACTTATTTAATCTTCCCAAACTAGGCCTTAGTATATTCTAAAATTATATGTTAACAAATTCAATTTGAATTTTTGATCTTTTTTTTTCTTATGATAATAACTCATGTACATTAATTCAAATCTTTCATATATTGTTCACATAGAATCAAGCACACAAATTATAAGATTGGTAAGATTATGGGATAACAAAATGTTCATAACTTTTTATGGGTTTCGGATTCCCCCGTCCCACATGCAGGTCCCTTTCTTTCTCATAGTTACACATCAATTAAAACCAATTGTAAACTCTGTTTTACCCTTTCCATATCTTAGAGTCATGTTGCTATTCAAACTTGTCAACAAACTATTTGGTAATGAGAGCAATTAAAAATTTCAAATAGTCTCCACAAGAAGTCTCAGTCTTACATCTCAACTCCCGATTCGATGCCCTCTAAAAAAATAAATTTCCCACACGTGTTGCTATGAAATTAAGAAATGACTTTTGTTTTTGTAGACTTGATAATTCACACCTTGGTTACAAACTTGTGAATTTTCTTGGTGTCCAAATAGCCTACACATGAACCAGTACAACACCAAACACAAAAAGGTAAAGCCTTATTAGATTACTCTTGATTGATGAAAGAGGCCAACTTTTTCAACAAAGCCAAAGCATTCTCACAAGTCGGGTCAAACAAATGAAACACATGTTCTTCCCCTTTTGCCTCCATGATCTCCACCACCCCATCCCACTCACACTTCTTCAAAGTCTCATAATAAAACCAACCCCTCTCTCTCATCCCATCCTTCTCAGCCACACAAACCACCACCCTCCTACACCCCATCCTCCCCAGACTCAAATCCACGGCCGGGTTAATCCTCGGGTCACCCGACCCGTTTGTCTCTGGACAAGCAAAAAACCATGACTTGTGCGCATTCCCTTCTCTACCCACAAAGTCCGGATGAACCAAACAAATTCCCACCACCTTCAACCCCACCAACTCCTCCGCCTCAACACCTGCTTTCACCGCCGTGTTGTGGGCTATGTTAGCCCCGGCACTGTCTCCGGCGATGAAAACTCTTTCAAAATCGGCGGTGTCGTTGAGCCAGGGTTCCGGGCCTTGTCGGCCTGAATGAGAAGCAACCCATTTGAGGGCAGCCCATGAATCTTCATAAGCCAGAGGAAGAGGGTGTTCCGGGGCGAGTCGGTAGTCGACGGAGAGTGCAATGACATTGGCTTCGGCGACAAGAGAGGTGAGGTGGTTGTGGTAGGTGGAGCAGAAGGGAGAACCGAAGCAGAAGGCTCCACCATGGAAGTAGATGAGGAGGGGGAGCTTTTGCGGTGGTGGGTTGGTGGTGGTGGGTTTAAAGAGGCGGGCTGATACGGCGGTTTCCTGCGAAATTAGGATGTCTTTGGAGGAGACACCGGTTTTGGAGTCGGTGGAAGGAGGAACTCTGTCAGTGCCGAAGAACCGCTCGACCCGACCGTCTTTGTATGCTCGGAAATAGGGAAGGAACTCGAATGCTACGTCGTTTTTGGTTGAATCCATTGTTGTTGAGTTGAGATTGAGAGGATGGTGAAAAGGTGGAAGAAAATGAATGTGGAAGAGAGTGTTGGATGGTGGTGGTGGTGAGTAAAGCACCTATTGGCTTTAAAAAGGAAGAAAGCCAGCCGAGGTGGGCCTTGACTTCCATTACACACTTGCGTCACACACACGTCAACATTTAGTGAAAAATTTTGATAAATTAATTTAGGGCAAATTACATATACACCCCTCCAGGTTTGGTTAAATTACAGATACCCCCTGAGGTTTCGGAAATTACATCCCGCCCCCTGAGGTTTGTATTTTCATAACAATTTACCCCCTGAGGTTTATATTTCATAACAAATTACCCCTTAATTTCTTATGCAAATATAGCATTCAGGGGGAAATTCGTAATTTCTCAAACCTCAGGGGGTATCTGTAATTTTGCCAAACCTGGAGGGGTGTATATGTAATTTGCCCATTAATTTATATCTACGCCGTGTCGTGAGACGAAGTGGATAAAAAATTAATTTTTTTAATTTATTTTATCTTTTTATAAATAAAAAATATAAGAAGTAATGGATTCAAAAGAGATAAAAAGTTAAAAATTGACTTTTTATTTGATTGTCAAAACACCTTATATATATTTTTAAATTCTTTATATCACTGATTTTTTTATCACCTTTGTATATTATTTTTTGAAATAGTTATTTATAATTAACTTTTTTTTTTTAGTGATGACTGTTACAGTGGAAAAAAAATTAATTTATATATATATATATGTTTGGGTAAATTATATTGATTTTATTTTAAATTTGAGAAAAATACAATCAGTTTCACAATGTTGACATAATGAGGACTATGCAAAATACCCAATCTGTTAAAATCGCATTGATCCGTACCGCTCTATCCGCTAATTGCGGTTTAAACTTTAAAATTTATAATACGTTTTTGAAATTATTTCACTCCGTTGTAGTTAATACATATATATTCTTTAACCTATAATAAAATATCAAAATAAAAATGTGTATGAAAGAGATTTAATATGTGAAATTTATTACAAATTAAGGTTCATTTGGAATGTGGGTTGACTTTTTGATTTTTTGGCTATTTTAGCCTGGGGTTAAAAAGTCTCGTTTGGGATAGCCTTTTTGGCTCTTTTGACTTTTGTAAGAGAAAAAATAAAATGATTATGGTTTGAATGTGACATTTTGCCTTATTAGGCTAAAAAATCTATTTTATCTTTTTATGACTGTTTTAGTCAAAAAATACCATTTTAACTTATGTCAAACGAAGGCTTAGTAGTTATATATATAAAAAATATTAGTTTGTGTTATATATATGAAAAATATTATGCAAATTAGTATTATATATTATGTAAATACTTGATAATTAATTAGAATATTATTTAATTCACCAATCCACTAATCTGTCATTTGATTTATAATTTTACTCTCAAACTATTCGAACAGCACCACGCACACCGCTAGACATAATTATACTAATATTTGTTTTAGTAAAATTAAATGGACCAAAATTAATGCAAATATTATAAAAATGTAAAAAAAAAAAAACAATATCAAATATATAGATTCTGTGTAAAAAAATAACATTATTTTTTTCATTTATATAATTAACAAATCATTGATAATTCCTTTCGTATGATTCTGTTGATCAAGCTTGCGCTCTTCCAAACGTCGTCGCTTTGCCACCTGAAAACACAAACGTGAGCTAATCGGCGAGTGTGTGCCGGAAACCCCTTCGATGCCTAAGTCAGCACAATAGACAATAGACACAAAAGCTCTGTGAATTCAGGAATCAAAGTTGTGTTACCCCTCCATAGGTGATGTTGTGAGCTTTTATAGGTTCCGCGCGACATAATCCTAGTAGGACTCATATTCCTCCATGTAGAGTCCTCCTAGGAATCATACTCCGAAAAGACAATGTTTATCCTTTCACACCATTAAACCAGGTGAGATGGTTTTACCACGGTTGGATGTCAATATGACCGAGCTAAGATGGCCATGCTAAAGCCGCAGACTAGACCGAACTCCGACTAGCTCGGCTCTTCCTTTCACTGCGTGTTCCTCGGTTTGACATACTCTAAGTGGGCTGTTCATTCAACACCGAGCTAACCAAGCACAAGAGAGTTAACTCGGCGCTCCAACGCATAATGCCAAGATAGCTCGGCTCTCCCAAGCACAGTGCCTAGTTAGCTCGGCCCATACCTGCTTAGCCTTTTAGACCGAAGTAAATCTGCTTTTATCTCGGTCCGTCTCGCGGCCTAATTACCAAAAAAGTCTCCTACTCAGCTCGGCTCAATTTGGACAAAAATTACCCTCTCAAAATATATAGATTCCGTGTAAAAAAATAATATTATTTTTTTATTTATATAATTAATAAATTATTGATAAAAATAGAATTAAGTATTATATAAATTAAAATTATAAAAAAATTAATATACTTTTGTCAAACTGTGAATTTTTTTTGTATTTTAATTTTTTAATCTGGATGGATATTTCTTGTTTTCACATTTAGCAAACGCGGGCTGCGTTGCTGCACAAGTTCAACGTGCATTGGTAGGTACGTCAGACATGCCTCGCCCGTCCGTCTTTTCGTTATGGAAATTTAAGGGTAGGGGTAACGTGGATCATGAAAAAATATTGTGAAAGATTTTTTATTTTTAGATTATAAATATAATAAAAATATTATATATTAATTAAAAGATAAAAAATTTTCATAAAATATTTCATGATCCTTAATATTATTTCTAAGGAAAAGTAACAAAATTGATAAGTATAAGGGGTGATCGCGGATGTGAATTGAGCGGATCGTGCGGATTAGCGGATAGATGCGATCAATTTGACGGTTTGGATTTTACAAATTTTAAACATTTTTTTGAATTATAATTCATAACTTTTATAATTTTTAATAACTAATAATCTGAAAAAAATATGTATTATTTGTTTATAATAGGCCATGACGCCATGCATGTATATTTTTAAGATATTATTTTCATTTTCACAAAATATATATTTTATTATTTCTATTCTATATTGTTACTTGTTAGCAGTTTTTTTTTTTTTTTTAACTTCATTTTTTTTTGAACTTCATTTACAGGCCGATCGAGTTCATGCTGGTACGGGATAGTTGATCTGTCATCCGAAATGTATTTGTACATTTTGCAATATTTTATCTACATCTGTTCGTTGAAAAACACGCATTCGCCCACAATGAATCAAGTTGAATTGGTTCAATCGGATTAGATAGGTTAGACGCATCCATAATCACCTCTAGTAAGTAGACAAATTAATTATGAATTAATGGTGAATAAAAAATAGAATAATGTTATTTTAATCCAAAAATTAGACATACTTTTGAACCTGAATCATCAACTAACTAGTCACTCTTATGCATTATTTTTCTTTTTTATATTTTTTTAATTATTAATTAATTTTCTTAATTATAAATTATTAAATTTAAAAAGTGAGTATAAAAAGTAAATTCATATATATATTTTTAAAAAGTAAGTACATTAGGTATGAATTCTTTTTAAAACAATTATTAATGGTGGAATCTTTTGTACAATAACCAAATTATCATTTCCCGTAGACCAAAATTATTAATTGTTTGGTGTAGATGTGAGTGGGCAGAGACATTTTGTGGACCACATTGGCTCTCTTTCAAGTCTAGCCTAGTCTCAGACACGATGATTAGGCTAGCACACTATTATTAGTAACACTGGACCTACATTTTCATTTTCATCTTCATCTTCATTTTCATTTTCATTTTCATTTTCATGTCCACTGAAAATCAAAAATATATATCTATACATTTGTTTTGTCATAGGATTAGTTTTCTATTATTCGTCATACTTATTTTAGTTACCATTTAAGTAAGTTTGTTTATGTAGTGTTGATTGAATTTTTTTCATTGAATTGGACATAAGTATTTGTGTTTCTTTATGATTTTGATTTCGTTTATATGAAAATGAAATGGGTTGGAAAAAATTATTTGATCTATGAAATAGGTTATTATGGAATGAGATAAGTCTTTTTCAATGAAATGGGTTTCTATGAATGGGTGACTTCTATTTATTTTTCTACTCTGAGATAAGATAAGTCTTTTTCTATGAATGGATTTTTCATATTCAAAAATTATCACTTAGAATGGAAGGTTGAAACAATCATTGTGCTTAATTGCTATTTACTACCTTCAACTTGATTTGTTTCTTTATATGTTCATAAAAATGATTTTTTATGCTTTTTGGCACTCACATTTGTGAATTAAGATGCCATATTTGTTTGGTTACTAATTGATAAGGAGCATGCATTTGTCTATTCTCTCTCTCAAATTGACCCCTCTATAAAACATGTACTGGTACCATTTCATCAACAAAAATAATTTTGCTTAGGTATGTAAGGTTGTGTTTGAATCATAATCACTTTATATTTCCCTCATCTTTTTTTTTTTCCTTTTCAAATTACTATCTAAATTTAAATTGATGCGTATAAATTACAACTACATTTTGATCCTAACATAATTTGTACCTTGTCTTTAGGTAGTTCAATTTCTCCATCTGTGATATTCATGCATAAACAAACTTCTTAAAGTGGGTTGTTAACTAAAATATGTTAGGAGGTTGTTAATTTTGTGTTGATTAATTTTTCTTTATGGCAATTATTAAATCTCATTCTGCGTTATAGTTATCTTTGTCAAATTTACATAACCAAACACTTTCAGGTTGAGACACCACTGACTTTCAACCTCTAATTATGGACAACATTACTATTTTTAGTTACATAAATTGTTTTCTTTTATATTTATTTGAAAAAAAAATACACATTCCTTATATGTTGAAGTCAGTTTTCTTTTCTTTTCATTATTATTTTTTATTTAATTTCCTTATAACAAAATGCTCTTTTCTCATAATTTACAGATAGATGGAGACATATGCCGAACTGTAATATCGACTCCTTTTACTCATTTTCTTAGTTGTATAAATTTTTTATTTTTTTTTACCTCTAATTATTTTGTATTTATAGGTTCAGTGTCTTCAAGAAAGAAATGTTAATATTGTCATCCGCAATTAACGTGACCTTAATGTCATCCAGGGTTCAAGAG